AAAAAAAAAAAAAAAAAAAACAGAAAAGAATCCTGGGAGAAGCCAGTCCAAAGGACGTAAACATACAGAGAACGGTGCAACACGTGACCGATGGCAATTCTCAAAGCACGGCTACAGATTCCCAAAAGGAGGTGCCATCATGGGATACTCAAGTCCACAAAAATAATTTTTAAAAAATAAATCTTAAAAAAAACACACCTGTTGATTAAATGAATAATTTCAGGTAAATCCATACATTCTCGAGTGCCCCCCACCCCCAAAGCAGCCCTCGGGTCTTGGTTCTCCTATTGCATGACCAATAGTGGGTGCTCCTGGAACTCCCTCAAAGCAGCTCTCAGGACCTGGAATCTCATCTTGACAAGGATCAGCACATCCAATCTTAGCAGCTTAAAACATCATGTTTCCTGGGTTGCCAGGTCCTTGGCTGAATCCACCCATGCCCACATCAGCAGCCATGCCCCGGGGCCTCATCTGTGGGGGGATCATGATGTTCTGTTGGGGTCCCATCATGCCCTGCATGGACATCATCATGCCTGGAGAGCCCACGGGCCCAGGGTGAGTGTAGAGCCCTGCGGGTCCCCGATCCTTGCCAGGAATCATGCCCACAGCGGCAGCTGGATTGCTCATCAGGGTGGGCTGGCCGGGCATTGTAGATTGTGCTGGTGACATCATCCGATGGTGAGGTCCCATCATGCCTTGCTGGAGAAAGGCTGGTGGTCTCATGGGGTTGTGGCCTGGCATGGATGGAGCTGTACCAAGAGGGATGTCCGGAGTTCCCACTGGCCCTGGACCTCCCATGCCAGGTAATGCTAGTCCCATTCTGGGGGCCTGCTCCCCCATCATCCCCTGCATGTGTGAAAACCCAGGTCCAGGGCCCTGGGGCTGTTTCCGGCCTGGGACTTCCCCTCGAGGGAAATATTGCAGTGTCTGGCTAGGCTTCTCTGATGGAATAATGCGGGATAGATCAAACTCAGGTATTCCTGTGGCTCCAGGACGGATGACTTCCTGTAGATCTGGGTCTGTAAACACCGAAGGCATGCTGTTCCCAAGAACAGTGAAGGAGTCAGGACCCCCGGGGCCTCCAGGCTTGCAAAGTGCTGCATCTGCTGAACTTTGGGGCAGGTTGCTGGGGCGGCCAAGGGGGCCTTCTCCTGGGAAGCCCATCCCTCCTGGAAAGCTGCCCTGTCCCCCACTGGGGCCATTGTGAGGGAATGGAACCTGCTGTGGGGGAGACTGTACTGGAGGGAAACCCTGGGGGAAGCCCATCCGTCCTTGAGGTACCATCGGTGGCTCTTGGGACCCATGCCCCATGATAGGATTGTGTGACATCAAGCCAGGTCCCATTGGGACCCCATGAGGAGGTATGTTGGGTCCCATAGCATTCGGAGAGGGCATCTGATTGGAGTGAGAAAGTGGCTGGGTCATTCCCATTGGGCTGAGGGTTGGCATCGGAACCACGGGATTTGGACCTGAAATTCGAGGATTCTGTGTATTAATGCCCATTCCTGGAAAAATAAAGACATCAAAGGAATCAATTTAATCAAAAGCAACTCAAAAGAACTATACTAAATCAAATTAACAAAAAAATTTATTGTGTACCTGACATGGATAGTCCTATGCTGGGAAAACATACAACATACAATCCTTACCCTCGGTAAGATTATAATACATTTGGGGACATACAAACCAACAGCTCTACAAGATGATATAGGATTAAATCTTAACCCGTCTGATGAAGGAATGTATAGAAGAGAGCAAAGGAGAAATTCTCCTGTGTGAAAAGTTATAAATTAGTACACAATAAATGAGCACACTCTTCTTTAGTGGAGATATTTAATACAGAAGAAAACAATTTGCCTGGATGACTGAAGTATGGTCTTTTGGAGAAAAATGATTAATTTGTTCTACAATTCCAATTATCAGAAATAATAACAAAACCCAAACAGGTCTTTTTTCAATTGGCATTATTTTGTATTGCTTTATAGAGAAAGCACTGAAAACTCTAGGTTACGTGAACTGTTAAAGAAGCAGTAACATTTAACCGGAAAGGGAAACACACACATTCTACTAAGTCTCTGGGAGATTTAAATACAGTAGAACCTCTGTGAGGTAACCACCCATGGGACTGTAACAGACTGGTCAACATATAGAGGTGGTCAACATAAGAACTAGGTTTCCTGTACTGCTAGGTACATACAGCTTTTATCAGAAAATATCAGATGAAATCATAATCAAAACACAGTAAAATCATAAAGTATCATATAAAATCAAGGTATTTACTGTTTTCCCATGGTTTATTCTTGTCTGTTTCTTATTCTCATTGCACATATAAGTGGAGAAAGCACTCCTAACGCTGGCTACAACACTCAGCACACCTGAGCATTTTTCCACAGCAAATAACTTCAACTGCATTACCAGATGCCTGACATCCTCTTCTTTTGGCATCTTTGCAGTTCCTGTGTTGTCCCCACTTGCTTCTTCCACTTCATCAACTACTTCATGCGCTTTTATACTGGTCTGTACTTTGGTCAACAGTGCTTGGAAAATTGCTTCTAGGTCAGGTTCATTACAGGTTCATTACCTCATCATCCATTGCAACACCCCCTTCGAAATCTCCCCCTTTGAATTCTGTCATGGGAGATGGACTGTCTGGTGGGTCCAAAACATCATGCTCTTGGGTTGTGACAAATCCAACTTTATTGAAACACTTCTGGATCCTTTCTTGTGGAGTGTGGATTGTGAGGGGGCAAGACGCCCGCAGCCAGGGAGGTGTGTTCAAAGAACCCCCAACTGCTTCTCCTCCCTTCTAGTCCTTTCTTCTTACTCCCTCTGCCATAGGTCACGTAGCTTCTGTATACTTCTTTTTTTTCGTTGCGTAAAAGCACATAGCCTTCTTTCCCTAAAGTTAGTCTTTACCCCATGTACTATTATTTCCTCTCAACCTTGTAAGATGAAAATATTCCCACTTGCTTTCCTTGCTGATTTGCAACATTGTTAGTATAAACAACCTTGTTTAGGGACTGTACACAATAAAGCTGTTCACAAGGTTGGGGGCTGGCTGCAGCCATCAGCTGTGCCAGACCTCTTGATCCCATCCTTATCTCTTGTGTGATCTTTGTCTCTGTGTGTTTTATTTCCTCATCCCCCATCATTCCCACTTTGGTATGTTTACTCTTTGTGCTAGCTCATGAAAATTTCTGGCTGAACTTTATTCCAAGCAGAACTGATTCAGAGGACAGTGTCCAGAGCATTAACTGATGCAGCAGATTGGGTTGCTTGCACAGGTGGACCACAGATTTGTGTTTTAGTAATGCCCCACTCACTGCAGGAGCTGGTAGTGCATTGAAAATGTTTTGATGATGCCTTTGGTGAAGAGGATTTTTGAGGTTGTGTTTGGAGGCAGAAATTTCAGTATCACATTTGTGAGATGATTCACTTGTGGGTGGCTGGGACAGCTGTGTACTGTCAGTAGAATAGGCCATTTCTTCTTTTCCGTTTCTTGGTTGATACTCCGCACCCACTCCTCAAATAGGGCACCAAGTCATCCATGTACATTTGCTTGATGACCAGAAAGTCTTCAGGCTTCAGACTGTAGAATGTGTGTGGCTTTGCTAATTTGCCAGTCACCAAGGGCTTTAGTTTCTCTTTGGCTGAGCTAATACAAAGCAGAACTGTGAAAAGTTCTTTGGCAAGTTTTCTGCTCTTACATTTGTCACCTTTCATGACAAAGCTCCTGTCAGGTATTACCTTGAGAGAGAGTCCACACTCGTCAGCATTAAAGACATCATCATCTTTGAAGCCTCTGGCAAAGTCTGGGAAATTGTTGCTGAGCTCTTCCACAACTTCTTCTGGAACTTCACTGGATTCACTACATAAGACTTTCTGGGAGATCACATTTCACAGTTTAAATTTCTTTCTATTTTTTTTTTTAGTGACAGAGTCTCACTTGGGCTTAGGCGATTCTCTTGCCTCAGCCTCCCGAGTAGCTGGGACTACAGGTGCCCACCACAATGCCCAGCTATTTTTTTGTTGTAGTTTGGAGGGGGCCAGGTTCAAACCTGCCACCCTCAGTATATGGGGTCAGCATCCTATCCACTGAGCCACAGGTGTTGCCCAGTTTAAATTTCTTGAGCCAACCACTTGATGCCTGGATATCTGCCACCTGAAATTCCTATGCAAATTTTTTAGCAACTTCTTGGATAATTGACCCAGACTTTTGGGTGTTAACTGCCCTCATTTGTTTGAATCAGCTTAATGTGGCATCACCGACTTCTTAGAAGGAAGTTTTCCTTCTTTTCTGCTGTAGGTCTCTGCTTTCTTTACTGTATCTCTCCAACTATTCATGTTTATGTTTTTCGATGGTGCTGACTGTGGTCTTGCTAACATCAAAATGTTCTCCTTTCTTTGGCTGCTGCTTTCCAGAAAATGTAAATCAACCTTTTTCCTTCACTGTCAGCTCCCTGAGTTCATTCCTTTGGGCCATAATATCTTGATTAACTGTAAAATTTTTCAGTTAATTGTAGGATGTATCTACAATACAGATCAGTCCTTTGCATCTAAAAAATCTTCCACAATACATGATAAACAATAGGATATTAGACCTAATTTTACACATGGTGATAACAAAACATAAAAAAACTTATGCTAAAGAAAAAATTAATACAACTAAGGGGTAAAGCTCACACCTTTTACCCCTTGGTGTAGAGTGGACTCGTTACAGATGGTAAATTAATACTGTGTGTCACAGACCAAGTGGTCAAGATATGACTGACGGAGATGGTCACTATATAGAGGTCAGTCTTCCACTGAGTACATGTGGTGCACGTTGGTCTATGAAAACGGGTCAGCTTCAGGGGGTAGTCAACATAGGGAGGCGGTCAACTATGGAGATTCTACTGTATTTGTCCTCTCTATGGATTTGCCACTGAGTGTGGCATGGATGGTGTTCATGCTGTCCGCAGAGCATGTCCTAACCTGGTTAGTTAGGATGGCTGATAAATAAACAGCATTTCTAACAATCAGAACAGCACTGGAACCACAAACCATGGTTGAAAAGTTTTGGTCTCTTTGCTTATCACCCTCAGCATCCCAGATTATTTCCTGTTAGTGAGGTTGGCAGGGGAGGGTATAGGAATGAAGGCATACAGAATGATAGGGAAGAGAAGAATTTTATTATCTCCCTAGTCCTAAAGAAAGGGCTTCTCTAGGAAACAGGGGCTTTTATCTGAAATCCTGTGGCTGCGTGTGGTTTGAGGCTGCCCTTCCAGGAAAATATTTGAGAATAAAAGACATTCCCATCTGCATGTTAAAAAGAAACTACTTTCAGTATTGCTATAGAGGATCAAAAAAGAAAAAAACAAAATAAGACAAAAAACAAATTTAAAGAACCCATTCAGGTACACAGAAGCCCTCAGAACAATAAGGAAATCTGCTTTCATACAAATACTAACTCAAGCTAATAAAAATTTGTCATTTTCCTCTAGTCAAGATACTTTAATTCTACTGAAACTAATTTAGATGATCCATTTTTTCAACTTGTTGAACTTCTACTTATTCAAGAGGTTTCTCTTTTGTCTAGCACTGGCTAAATGCCTTATCTTTCTAATTTCTTACCTGGCATATTATTCATTGATGGCAAGTTGGGAGAACGAGCTGGAGGGGAGTCATCATCTGAGCTGGCCACAGTCTTGATGGCATCGTGGTACAACGGGGTAGAACTGGGCATTGCGAACTTGGACATTCGAGACATCATAATAGAGAGTGGGTTCTGAGAGAGGGTTGGCTCTGGAGGCATGGTGTAAGGTGTGCTAGAGGGAAGACTTCCAGGGATATTCACAGAGGCAGGCTGGCTGGCTGTAGGAGGCGGGGGCCCACCTACGAGGAGAAAGCAAAACAGAACAAATATGGGCAGGAAATTAGATTCCTTTTGAAGGCTCTTGGGGCCTATGATTATGAACTAGCAAGGCCAGCAATGAGACAGATGAACAGGACAGTGTTATTACACCCAAGACACAAATCATCAATCTAGTCAAGTTCTGTGTGTGTGCAGCGGGGGACTGTGGCATGATATGAAGGTGACGGGTCAGCAGATGTAAAGACAAACATACCAGGAATATATGTTAGAAACAGCAGTTCAAGCTTGGAAAAATATGATTCACAGACAACCATTTCTGAATAGAATGTGAAATAAGAGGATCTCTTTCCCTTGCCTATCACAATTCAGAATTCAGCGCAGCTGTCAGTATGCCACGAAGCCAGACTAGTGATCCAAACCCAGGCACTAACCACACCACTCTACACACATTATCATCAGGTTCCACAACAAAGATGCCTGAACTAAGATGGTCTAGGGGGCCACAGAATGTCTTAACAGTGGATGAATACGGCTTCCTTAAATACTGGACCCTCAAGTCACAAGATTGTGAGTTCAATCCTAAGTGACGAGAAGGGAGGTTCTCATATGTGTTGACCACAGAAATAATTACCATGCTGCCATTGGTAGTTGCCATGCTGTACTGCTGTAGTGAGCTGCTCCCCCACAGGGAGGGACTCTTTACCATGGGAGGATAAATCTCCTATCTTATTCTGATTCTAGTCTTTCTCAAGTGGAGATAACACCAACCTACCATTTACACTCAGCACTACTTCTACTGACCACCTCTGGTCCCACATGCAAAACCACCATCATCAGCATGAGCCTCTCCTAGGAAGAAAATACTAAAAAATTGTAGTTGATCGTTGAGAACAGCAGTCTACCAAGGAGAAGGCTTTGGTAATTGTTTCTGTGGTCAGCACATACTTACAAGAGCCATGTGAGTCTCACAGCAGCCTCCCTTCTCTTTGTGTAGGATGACACTCAGAATTTCTTGACCTGACGGTCCAGTATCTAAAGAAGCCATGTTTATCTACTGTTAAAGTCATTTACTTCACTAGCATGTGTTCACTGCAAATGTAAATTACTTTGTGAACTGACATATATTTCCCATTTCCCGTCTTCCTTTCAACAGCCCCATCTGACATACATATTTCTGGCCAGGATTAGACACTTCCGCACAACCTATGGAAGTACTGCTTATGCAATTTTCCACAAACATGTCCGTGTTGGCAAAGGCCCTGTACTCTGGTAGTGTAATCAAGACCCCAGTTTTCTTAACCCAATCAGGCTCGAGCCATCTCCAAAATGTGACTGTGAGGATGCAGCATACTGACCTGACTCTACACTTCCCAGCATGGCTGGGGAGGTCATGGTGAGGGGTGCTTTATGGTTTGGAGGAATCCCAGGACTCTGAAGGGGAGGTTTTGGAGAAGAGGTCCATCCAGGTGATGGGGCAGGAAGTGATGGAGACTTGAGGTGGACAGGCGAAGCAGCAGCAGACCCCAAGACAGGCGGGGACTTAATGGAAGCAGCAGCAGCCGGGCCTGCCAGCATGCCTGCCAACTGCGATGGAGTCTGGGGGGACTTCAGGTTCCCCGAGGGTGAGCCCAGCATTGGGGACTGGACTTGGTGCATTGTGGGAGACTTCAGAGGGTTAATGCCTGGGGAATGCACCTGGCCACCTGCCACAGATATATCCAAGGGCTTCCGCCCCAGGCCACGCTGAACGGGAGGAGCTGTGTTGAGGCTGCTGGGGTTGCTGGAAGGGTTGAGAGGTAGTGGTGGCATGTGACTGAGCCGGCTGTTAGTCCTTTGGTCGGGCCCCATTGGTTCTCTGAGGTTCCGCAAGCCACTGCTGCTGCTTGGACCCTGAGACATGGGAAGAAAGGGCCTGGGGCCCACGCCGTACTCCTGCTGGGGGTGCTCGCCAAATGGCAGGGGCACCAGCTTCTGCTGAGCGGGCAGCACGTCCGAGCCACCCGGGCGCAGTTTCATCATCTCCTCAGGGCCCGCCCCAGCCTCTCTCATCTTCTGAGGTATCATCTGAGAGTTGGACCCCATGCTGACACTCAGGTTGACATCTCCCTTCATCCCACCAGGAACCATCCCAAACTCCAGTTCCCGAGCAGAGCCTATCTGCGGAGGCATTCCCTTTGGAAAGTCACCCCTAGAAGGACTCAGAGGGCCCTCAACTGGTATTCGAGGGAAAATGGGGTTGCTCCCAGGCTCCATGTGGCGCTGGGTGCCTGGGATCATCCTGCTCATCTCCATGCTGGGCCTGATGCCTTCTATGCCCATCCCTGGGGGGAGCCCCAGCTGTTTCTCTGCCAGCTGCTGTTGAAACATCTCTTCAGACAGTCCTTGGGGATTTGGGAAGCGTTCCCCTCGGCCAGGACCACTGAAGACGCCCTGGCCAGAAGGAAAATTTCTACCATCTGGGATTTTTGGCACATCATCTGGCCAACTGACTCCAGAAAGACCAGGTCTAGCTGCTGGGTTGGCCACATTTGGCCCTTCCATCTCAGAGTTAATCATTCCTGCAAATCCAGGGAGGCGCATCTGGCTCCCCGGCATGTTGGGGTGGGGAGCCATGCCCCTCGGGGGCAGTGAATGTGGCATGTTGATACCATCAGAAAATGGTTCTGCACCCCCAGGTGCCCAGCCTTCACTAGGAGTCATCTGGTATGGAGGGGGAGGCCCACGGACCACGCCCCGAGGCCCGTGCTGATGGACCATCATGTCCTGCAGGGAGCACTGCTGGACCACCACTTGTTCCTGCTTCCTCCTCTTCTCTTCATAAAACTCCTGCTGCAGCTTCAGCCATGCTATCTGCTCCGGAGTCATGTGGTCCAGGTGGTCGGGTCCTATGGGCCCAGACTGGGAGTTCATAGAAGGTGGAACCATTTCATCTGGAGCAAAGGGCACATCTCTATGTCCCTGAGGGCCAAATGGAGCTCCCACGTCCGTCCGGGGCCCAGGTCCCTTACCTAGGCTTTGGGATTGAGCCATCATGGCCTGTATTGGCCCTTCTGGTTTTTTCTGAGGCCCATCTAATACCCCAGTGTTCTGTGGGGGTGGCCCACTTTGTGCTCCTGTGAATTCTTTCTCATCAGGGAAAAGCATACGCTGGATGTCTCTAAGAGTCTGGAGGGAGCGCTCCCGGTGCTCCAGCTGCTCCTGAGATAGGCCATCAGGGTTCTCCCCCAGTGCAGGGGGCTCGCCACTTGACACAGGTGGGGGTGGAGGGGCTTTGGGATCTGCTGAAGAGCCGTTGCTCCCCTGGGAGGCAGGGGTAACTGCTCGGTTGTTCGGTGTAGAGTTTGGCCCAGTACCATCTGGGGGCAGTGGAGTGGAGCTGGCAGGACTACCGACAGAAGGAATCAGTTTATTTTCTACCCCAGGACTATCCTGGTCCAGGGGACGTGGGGGTGCAGCAGGCTTGGGTGCTGGTGCCGGAATGGGTGGAGTTGGTTGCAGTCTAGTGTTCTGGGAAGAGTTCTGGTCCTGGCTGGTGGGAGCTGGGGGCTGTGGTGGGAGAGGTTTCGGATCATTCCGAAGGGCAGGTATCTGTGTGTTCTAGGACAGACAAGATTTTTAAGTTTACCAATGGGTAAACTGAACAGAAAAACAAAAGAGCAAGTTATGTTATAACACTTGTCCCTGTCAAACACTTCTACACTGACACTTGCTATGGAGATTGCGCATGTACGATCCCTCCTGGGACATGAAGACATTTTTATTTTTACTTTTTCTTTTTTTTTTTTTTTGAGACAGAGCCTCAAGCTGTCCCCCTGGGCAGAGTGCCGTGGCATTACAGCTCACAGCAACCTCCAACTCCTGGGCTCAAGCGAGTCTCCTGCCTCCGCCTCCCAAGTAGCTGGGACCACAGGCGCCCGCCACAACGCCCGGCTATTTTTTGGTTGCAGCCGTCATTGTTGTTTGGCGGGTCCGGGCTGGGGATTCGAACCCACCACCTTAGGTGTACGTGGCTGGCGCCTTAGCCGGTTGAGCTATAGGCGCCGAGCCATTTTTACTTTTTCTTAAACTTACTGTCAAATATTATCCTCTTTCCCTGGTTGAAAATTAGATTTCAATAACTTTGTAAGCACACCAGTGGAGAGCCGCTCCAGCAGAGTGAACATGTTTGAGTCTCTGTTTTGAGAAACAGGTTTGATATCACGTGTCTACTATGTTTCAGATTCTGAAAGGGACTAGTTTCTTCGTATGTGGGAAGCTGTACCTAACATCGTCTTTTCCCTGAAAGTACAACTGGGTAGATAGACTTCTTGCTGTCAATCAAAAGGACTGATGTTTCTATCTGAAAGGGGAGTGCAAGCCAGCTGCGGCTGTGTGCTCTGCTAGCTGGAGGCGGCCAGGAAGTCCCCGTTTCATCGGCACATCATCCCCTCTGGTAGGGCGACATGAAGCACTTCCATCTGTGAGCTTCCAGGGGGCCTGACATCTCTGGTTTCTGTTTTTGGTTTGTGATCACCAATTCCATATTTGATAAGAATTTGTACATTAACTACAGTAAGAAAATGTGCAGGCAGGAAGCGTCTGAGGAGAAGTCTGAGGCTATCCAGCTCCTGGTGTCTCTTTCTAAATAGACAGCAGACTGCCTTTTTAACAGACTGCTTGATCACCTTATTAAGTACCAATGAATGCTACACTAAGTTCTGGGTAAAAGCACACTCACTTACAAGAGGTGACGTGAACACTGTGAGCGTTTAGAAGAGGGATGTGTGTGTCTGGGTCCTAATCTACAGCACTGCAGAAACTAAGAGGATGCTGAAGCTCAGAAGGGCCAGTCTGCAGACTCGGTCTCAGAAACCTCCACCAGCCTCCAGATCCCTTTTTTGGTGTTCATCTGCTCCTACTTGTTCACTTAATCCAGCCTGTATTTCCAAACCCTTAAGGCTTTTACTTACCTTCCCACCTACTGTCTGGAAGCTGTCTACCTGTGTGTAAATATGTGAACAAATCACTATGTGTATCTCTGCATGTGAACAGTTTGTGTTGTATAAACACAAAGGCGTATCTTCGAGTGTTTATATTCTGTGACTATATATACATATACATATGAATGTTTCACTGGGAGGGAGGTGGCCATGCACGTTTATCTGTAGATAAGACTGTGTGGGTAAGACCAGCTGGCTGAATTTGTGTGACTCTGTAAAGTCCACATATGTTCCAGGTCCACAACTCTAACTGGAGTGCAGAGGACATGTGAATCCCCTTCTAGTGCCCTTTAAAGTTTGGTTTATTGGTCAGGTTCTGTTTGTATGTTGTGGATGGGTACTGATTTCATAGAGGGTGACTGTGACAGTAGAAATCATTTAGTTTCATCCTTGTCATTTTAGGTTTGGAGCAATAGGCTACTCCCAATTCCCTCCTTAACTCCTTTTCTGATTTCATTTTAGTACCAGAGAAGGCAGAGGTAATAACTGCATTTAAGAACTGTCATTAAGTCGATAGAACGTTGGTTTGAGTTACACGTACCCTGTGCATTCCAGGACAATGCATATTTTAAATATAACTATATGTATTCTCTGCTGTTGAGTAGTGGAGATTCATAGGGAATGTGAAATTCCCTCAATTTAGGAAAGCCCAAGGTCTGCTTCTGTCTATAGAGATGGAGACTTTCTGATACATGCAATAGGAAAATGGCATCTATTTTTATTTGGAATTGTTACTTTGACCATTTATCGTCATTTGACTTTTCCCACATTTAAGACTTATCCCTATATTAGAGCTTTTTTTTTTTTTTTTTTAGGTTTTATGCTCTTGGAAAGCAGGGATTGTATTATGAACCTCTTGGTATCTCCCCAGCATTCAGTTTAATACCTTGACAATGTCAGTCACAAGAATCATCTTTTGATTCTGTTTGGTAAACTACGTGCATTAAAAAATTCGCTGTATGCTTTTTCTAATGGAGTTCACAGTAGATACTTAAGATCCAGACAAAAAACAGACTGACATTTATTATACTTTTGGAAAATATCAAGCAATTAAAAACACCCAATGGTCTTCTCAATTTAAAATAAACAGAAATCATTTTTGAAAGTCACTAAAACTCTGATGACAGTATTGTCATCATGTATTCCAGTACTTAGTTATTGCTTTTTTCTCTGTTCTTCAACTAACTCAAGAGTGTTTTTTTAAAACCTGCTCTGTACACACGGTCTGAATTCAGATTTTCCTAGAGATGATCGCATGAACGAAAAGCTAAGATATCCTCTTACATTGTGCATCTTCTTCCCCCATGAATTAATCAATCTACCTAGTATAATGCGACATGACTAACATCCCACAATGCCAAAATTAGTTTAAATGCCCAGAATACAGCTCATACCATCAAGTCTATCTCCCTCTCGATTAAACTCACTACCTCCCTTCCTTAGCAGTCTCTGTAGATCTAAACCATCATTCCATTTCTGAACGCACATACCAGAGGGGCTGTGCTTCTCTCTGTCTTGCTGTTAGAAATGTTCTGGATGTGGAAAGAGACGATAGTTTCAACCTGGCCCTTCAATACAGCTTCTGCAGCTCTGCAAAGACAGAAAAGACAGCATATACTAGACCTTATTTCTATTCACTAACTATAATTCCAAAGCACCTGAACACCAGATTGAACTTGTAAGGCAGAGGAAGGAATATAAAGAACCATCAGAAATGTTGAATGAGAAGAAATCAAAAGAAACATGTTTCATTATCTATGTTTACCTCTTTGTCTCAAAAAAAAAAAAAAGAGTTTACTATGTCGCCCTCGGTAGAGTGCCATGGTGTCACAGCTCACAGCAACCTCAAACTCTGGGGCTTAAGTGATTCTCTTGTCTCAGCCTCCCAGTAGCTGGGACTACAGGTGGCAGGCCCTGGCCGGGTTCAAACCCACCAGCTCTGGTGCATGTGGCTAGTGCCCCAATGACTGAGCTATGGGCGCTAAGCCTATGTTTACCTCTTACCATCAAACTTCTGAAATTAAAAGACAGTCATTAGCAAATCCAAAAAGAAGCATTAAAAAACAAAAACCAGGCTGAGTGCCTGTGGCTCAAGTGGCTAAGGTGTCAGCCACATACATCTGAGCTGGCAGGTTCAAATCTAGCCCGGGCCTGCCAAATGGCAATGATGGCTGCAACCCCCCTCCCCCCGCAAAAAAAAAAAAAAAAGAAAAAAAAGCCGGGCGTTGTGGCAGGCGCCTGTAGTCCCAGCTACTTGGGAGGTGGGGGCAAGAAAATAGCTTGAAACCAGGAGTTGGAGGTTGCCACAGTACTCTACTCAGAGTGCCAGCTTGAGGCTGTCTCAAAACAAAAACAAAGTAGTTTTGATTTGCATTTCTCTGATGATTAAGGATGGTGAGCATTTCTTCATATATCTGCAGGCCATGTGCCTATCTTCTTTAGAGAAATTTCTTTTTAAGACCTTTGCCCAGCTGAGATGGGATCACTTGATCTTTTCTTGCTAATACGTTTGAGTTCTCTATGCATTCTGGATATCAAACCCCTGTCAGAAACATAACCTGCAAATATCTTCTCCCATTCTGAGGGCTGTCTGCTTGCTTTACTGGGGGAGAGGGGGGTCATTGGAGGGATCACCTCTGTGGTTTATGTCACAAGGGTACATACAAGTGAATCTTTCTAAAAGTAGAATATAAATGTCTTAACACAATAACTAAGAAAATGACATAAAGGCTATGTTAACCAGTTTGATGAAAATATTTCAAATTGTATATAAAAACACCACATTGTACCTCATGATTGCATTAATGTACACAGCTATCATTTAATATATAAAAAAAAGCAGTATTTTCTTCTTCTTCTTCTTTTTTTTTTTTTTGCAGTTTTTGGCCAGTGCTGTGTTTGAATCCACCACCTCTGGCATATGGGGCCAACGCCCTACTCTTTTGAGCCACAGGCGCCGCCCCAGCATTGGTCTTCTTAAACCAATCTATTGTGGTAGATATTTTACAGTCAACCCTAGTTCAAAACCCAAGAAGGGGGACACAAAATCTCACCACACATAGTCATAGTCCAAGGCTGTCAAGATTTACTTTATATCTTAAATGGGTTAAAAAGTCAGAGAACAGCTAGGCATGTTGGCTCATGCCTATAATCTCAGCACTCTGGAAGGCCGAGGCAGGAGGACAGCTTGAGTTCAGGAGTTTGAGACCATCTTGAGCAAGAGTGAGAACCCATGTCTACTAAAAACAGAAAAATTATTTGGGGCATGGAGGTATACGCCTGTAGTCCCAGCTACTCCACAAGCTGAGGCAGGAGGATCCCCTTGAGGTTGCAGTGAGCTGCTATGATGCCACTGCACTTTAGTCCAGGGGACAGAGCAAAATCCTGTCTCAAAAAGAAAAAAAAAAGTATGAAAACCGTATGCACAATATAACTTTGATAAATAAATAAAAATCCACTGGTTTGTCCATTCTCTAGAAACATAATATGCCAAAATGTTCACAGTGATTATCTCTGTGAATTCCATAGATTTTTATTTTTAATTGTATTTACTATTTATTCAAGAATGGACATTTATTACTTGTGTCCTTTAAAAAAGAATAAGTAGACTGCAGAAAGGTGTGTACTGTGCAATCAATCTCTTCCATATTTAAAAAAGTTATACACGTATATGTATATTTGTATAAGCACAAAAACTTCTGAAATAAAGCCAAGAAAGTATTATCAGTGATTGCCTCTGGAAAGTGAGCTTGGGGAGGTTTTATATTTTATTTCAGTTCTTTCTATATTGTTAACTTTAAGTGATAATAACATAAGGGACTTATTAAAAAAAAAAAAAAAGGCTCCATCTGCAAATGGAGGAAGAACTTGGGTCCTCCAATACACAAGCCATGCCCCAAAGCAAGGCACAGTCATCAACTTACTTATTGGCCATCTCAGTAGAAAACACATACACCACTTTGGCTGGAGTCTTCTGAGCAGGTGTGGGCTCTGGAGCAGTAGTTTGGCCATGGGAAGGGGTGGAAGATCTGGGGGCTGTAGCATTTGACGGGGTCATCGAGTGTGGTGTGTGCTGGGAATCCTGGGACTTTATGTGGTCAGCAGAATTACATTCTAAAAGAATGAAAAGACTCATTGTCATAGGAAGAATACAACTTCCTTTCTTCTGCCAGCATTTATAACATCACAATACAAATCCACCTTGAGAATTTTAATAAAGTACTTTGCTAAAAGGAAAACTTCTCTTCTACAAACAGAATTTCAAATACTCTTTTCCCTAAGTGACCAATCATAAAGCACTTTCCCCCCACCTCCTTAATTCTCTATTATATATCCTTCAGATATTAGCTTGCATGTTCCTCCTGCCTGAAAACCGTTTTGAAATCTCTTGGATTGGCCAGGTGTGGTAGCTCATGCCTGTAATCCTAGCACTCTGGGAGGCTGAAGCAGGTGGATTGCTTGAGCTCAGGAGTTCAAGACCAGCCTGAGCCAGAGTGAGACTTCATTTCTAAAAATAGCCAAGCGCTGTGGTGGGTGCTTGTAGTACTAGCTACTCAGGAGGCTGAGGCAAGAGAATCACTTAAGCCCAGGAGTTTGCTCTGAGCTGTGATGCCACCGGCACTCTACCCAGGGCAACAAAGTAAGACTCTGTCTCCAAAAAACAAAAAAACCAAAAAACCAAGAAACCTCTTGGAATTGACTGGATGCCTCTGTTAATGCATCTCATAGCCCTCCAATTTCTCTCATTTCAGCATTTATCAAATGTCATTGTAATTGCTTGTTTAATGATCAGCTTTACAGGTGCACTCAAAATCCTTGAGGACAGCAACTGTATCTGCCTTGCTGACCATGGCACCCCCACACCCAGCACAGTGCAGGCACTCAGAACACCTGAGGGAGGAAGGGAGTAGGCAGGAAGGCAGAAAGGAAGGAGCAATCAATCATCCCCAGGTTTCCATTTCTAATTTGGATTAAGGAATCACACTTCCATTCTTAAATACTAACTTCATGTTCAGGCCTATGGTTAAAATTTCTGATCTTATTCTATGAGGAAAAAAGCCTAAAACCACAGACACTGGTCCCATACCCTTTTTGGCTCACTCTACTTTGGTGCCTGCCAAATCTATAACACATCTGGTAGCTACTCATTCCTGCCACACTGGAATCAGCTGTGACAAACACGGCCTAGTGCCAGGGCCATTAAGGCTTCCTTTGTGTCTACATGTCTGGCAAAGTGGCAACCAGAGAGCACAGAACTCAAGCCTTGGAGGGTTACTCTGATGGCGAAGAGGAGGGGATGCCAGAAAATTGCTCCAGCATGGCCACTGGCACAGACAAACTGGAGCTACTAGCTTGAAACTGGAGTATAAATAGGATGGAGGCCAGAAACACATATGAGAAGCTGCTTAGGCCTGAGAAACACCCCACCACAGCTCCTAAACCACCCGTATCCTCAGAGTGAGAACTCCTCAACAAGGCAGTTCCAAACTGTTCTTCAGTTGGTAGCAAAATGAGAATAGTTCCATTGTAAACCTGAGAACTCCTCAGTCTGGGAGTTATTAGGCCCCTGGCTACCACCAATATCAGAGACTTTCCCTCGGGAATACCTACTTCCCTCTGAGTCTCAAAGATCTTATAGACATACCTTTAATGTCAGAGTCATCGTTTGGAGTCCCAGGATCTCTCTGATCAAAGGAGTCGGCGGAAATACTTCGCTCCCTTTTCCCCTTGCCCTTGGCACCATTTCCAGCCCCATTCTTCAGCCCCATGCTCCCACCTGGGCCAGGGAGTGCTTTAGGGGTATGGCCCCCACTCTTGGAGTCACAGGGAGATGGCTGGGATTGGCTGGCTGAGCCCCCCTGTTTACCCTGATTGGAGAATTTGGAATCCAGCTGGGGGTTTCCAGATGGGGACATCACTGTAGGGGGACGGACCATCACCTCCTGCTTTGACTTAGGGCTACTAAAAGAGACAAATAACAGAGAGAGATAAGATACCAAGATACAGCTGGTCAGCACAAATTAGGGAGGAGCAGCTTCTATCATGGGTGAGGGAGACCCCCAGGAGTAAATAAGCACCCTATGTTCCCCTCAGCCACTGTTCTCTCCGCCCTCTCCAGTGTCAGAGCTACCAACAGAGAGGAGGAACAAGCAGGGTGGCCTGTCAGCTCTCAGGAACCCTGCAGTCACATGGGGACCCATCTCTAGGGCTTTTGTCAATAAAGGACAACGGTTTCTATGTACATAGAGAAGTGACTCTTACACTAAGACCAGCTCAGAGTAAACAAACAGGCATCATTAAGATCAAAATACTAGCACCCCAGGCTGATGACAAGGGACAGCTGTAACAAGAGCCTTGCTTCCCTGCTGGAAACATAAGCAGGTCTGGGAGAGCACGGGAGCTGGTGACTGTCAGGTTAGGGAAATCACCCAGGACCTAATCCCTCCCAACAAGTGGCAGCACTTCATAGCAGCTAAGCCACCACCTCCCTTGGGGGTGAGAAAAATGCCTTTTACAGTGACAATTTAGGGGCTGTGGGACAGAAGGAGAGGCCTCACAATGGGAGTCTGGAGGGTAATGATGGACAAAAGAATAACAAAAATAATACTCTAACATAAGCTTTGATTATCATACTGTGGCCTCTTTGCTATTCTATTACTATCTACTAATTTATTTTCTCTTCCTTTCCTATTTGGGTTTCACTTGCTTCTAACTTCTAACAGTGTGCTGACACGGTTCCAGCAATGAGTGTTTGTGGTACGCCTATGACAGACGCCCTCAGGGGCTGTGGCGGAGGCCCTTGCCCTCACCTCTGCGTGTTTCCTGATGGAGAGCTCCTCACTTTAGGGTTGCTGGAATGCATTGATTGGAATCCTGAGCTTGCAGTCACAGACAGCGACGGGCTCACCGAGTTCCTCTCGGGCTGCAGCAGAAACAGCTACCAGGGGCAGTGGCCGTGGCCCACTGCTTACTGGGTGCGTCCCTTAGTGCTGGCCTCCTGTGTGCCTTTTTCCTCTTTGTTTTTCTCTGCTGTGGAAGTGGGTCCTTTCCTCTCGCAGCTCCAGCATTCTCTGGGTGTGTGCCTCCTGCTGCCAAAGGAAAATCTCGCATCTCCAGGGCACACTATGGGAAAAGGCCACCCAAAAAAAGTTGGGAGTGAAAACACAGAGACATAAAACACCCTCACAATAGCATTGAGGTGAAAGCACTAGCTGGGGCAGCAAAGCAGAAGCTACATCATTCCTCAGCTTCTACTGGGATGAAAGGAAAGGGCGACACTCCTGTTCTGGCCAAAGGCTCTGGGGTTAGAGCAGCTGAAGGGTGACTGAGGCGCCTGCCAGCTGCAGGCCTCCCACCCGAGCAGCCGGGTCAGATGTGTAAGAGCAGGGTAGACAGCTACGTATCCCACCTTGCATTTCTCTACTTCTGAATACAAAGCCTTCAAAAACTTCTGTTTGCCTTTTTTAAAAATAATGCTTTGAGACCTCTGGGTAATGCAGAGGTAGTGACTAGCTGGTATTTCAGCTCTGATGAGAAACAATGGCACTGAAATGTAACAAACCCACCCATTTTGAATCATAAAGCAAATGATCTATGTTTATATTCTCAGGGCCCTGGGGATTGGGGGGGGGCATGAAAAAGAGGTACTTCTGAATTCAAATATTGAGCCAACACCAAAAACAATCAGTTCTGCCCCCTGACTTCCGTGATCTTTCAATTACATGATGCCGAGTATGTGTCTCGTGTTCTCACTGCTTAATGACAGGCACTGCAGGCATGGGTAGGCGTGGGAATGATCCACAATTCTGAAGGTAAAAGAACATCTCTGAAGGCTAAGATAGTTTTTAAGCCAATCTGCAAGGCTAATTTGAAGCATAAAGGTCAAAAAAATATTCCCAAACCTAGCTAGAGAACAAATGAGTCTTTTTATTTCCCTAAGAAGTCTAGACTAGTTCAGTCAAAATCAAGATACACTTTAAGTCACTGCTCCCTCCCAGGGCAGTTCCAACATGGTTTTCTTGTAACCACAAACCTCTCACATTCCCCTCCTCCTCCTTTTAGTATCTTACTAACAAAGTATGGAAATGAAGGAGGAGGACAATACATGCAGGATTAGTGACTAGAGAACCAAAGGGGGTTAGAAATAGCTCAGGTGCTGCAGCTTATGCAGCCGATGAGAGAGACACGAGAACCAAACTAAAACTGGGGGGTTCAGTTACATTCTGGGTTTGGGCACTAGGATCATTATCAAGTGTTAAATGTTCATTTGTTCACAAAGAAATGTGCAATAGCCCCAGCTACTTTACCTGGAACATTTAAAGTAATTTATGGAAGTTCTGAGTATACTCAATTAATTTTTTTCCTTTTTAAATAAAAAAGTCAGGAAAAAGAATAAAAATAGAAGAACCTCAGGAAAAAGTATACAACATATTTTGGTCTTGATTATATTTAAGGTAGTATTTTTTTAATCCCACACCAACTTCTAGTTTTTTTTTGTTTTTTTTGGTTTACACCAGAAAATGGATGGTTGTCATCAAATTCAACATATACAATCTTAAGCCATTCTGTAACTTCTCACTGAACATTAGAAGTTACTGGTAAAACAGAAGTAGCAAATGAATCCTGCATGGACAAAGCCATCGGAAAAGAACAGCCCTTACACCCTATCCAGCCCCTCCTGTAACTTTGCTGGTACTTTCTGTCTGCATCACACATTCCAGCATCCAGTCACATGTTGTACTGAATAATCCTAGGTGTGTATTTTATCTCCCCGTGAAGACTGTGTTCTTCAAACAAGAACCTTGTTTAAAGTTCTTTGGTTTTTCTATAATACTCAGCATGATGTCCTAAGAATGTAGTTAGATCTTGTGTGACGTACTCAGCATCTCACAGAACGGAAACAAGTGGCATTTGTATTGTACTTTTCTTCCAAAGAAACTCAAAACATATTACAATTATCAAATCACCTCATTAATCTGCCAAGTATGTCTGATGAGCTGGTAGCAAAGATTATTTCTAATAATGCTGTGGACATAGTGCATTTTTATTTTCAAAGTTCTTCTACATATAATTTCTTTCTTTCTTTTCTTTTTTGCAGTTTTTGGCCAGGGCTGGGTTTGAACCTGCCACCTCCAGTATATGGGGCAGGTGCCCTACTCCTTTGAGCCACAGGCGCTGCCCTCTACATACAATTTCTTATTCTCACAGTTTGCTTGACCTTGACTGATAGACATTTTACAGATACCAGAATAGAGCATGGGGAACATGTGGCGTGGGATGACTTCTTCTGTCCAGCCAGTGCTCCCTGTCCTCCCCTCTCCCTTCCTGTTTTGTCATGGATGGAGACAGCACAAAGCCTGAAATAAGCAGGTGAGCTCACCCATTGACAGGGAATAAAACCCAAGGTTCTGATCCCCAATCCTAGGAAGGTGTTGAAATAAATCATCCCTCGTTTTGGTCTTTCTGACAATAAAAACAACTTGCAAAAAAATCTGCCAAGTATCTCATTATGTAGTTTCAAAGAATAAAATTAGGCTCTTCGGCAAGTCTCCACTCAACTGTTTGCCTAAGAAGACTGAAAAAGATTTTCCACAGAATCATTATAGTCAGAGAGATCTTTCTTTGCCCAATATAACTAAGTCTCTTGTTTAGATTTACTTATACAATGTTTCTCTCTTCTCCTTTAATACTTAAAATCTGTACTATGTGTCAGGCATTGTTCTAAGCACTGCACCTGCATGTTAGCTTATTCACAACAACCCTATAAGGCAGGCACTACTGCTACCTTTATGTTAGAGATCTTAGAGGAAACAGAGGCTCCGAAATGTAACATAACTTGCCCAAGGTCACATCCCAGTAAGTGGCCCCAAAGTCTGCCTTCTTCGTCACTGTAGTGACTGTCAAAGCTGGGACTTGGTGGGCAGTGTGGGCCAATTCCTAGAAGGTGCCCATCAGTATAACACTGCAGTGGAAACTAACTATCACTATGACTACTACCACCCTCTAGTGAGCTCTCTGGCTTATTCCACCTGGTACTCTTTCATACCTTCTACACCTCCTGTCCATCACCTTCCCTCCCTCCCTTCCCACTCCCGAGTATGGTCTTCACCACTACTTAACAGAAAGAGATGTCACCAGGCAGGAAGTCCTCCTTGCTAAATACACAAACCTATTTTCATTAGTACCGATCCCCTCTTTCCTTTCTATTATTCAAACAAAAAAATATACAGCTCACTTTTTCCCCAAGGCCAGCCCCACTATGGAGAACTAGGTCCCTCCCTTTCAGACTCTGAGAGCTCTCACCCTCCACTCTGACCATCCTCTCTACCTCTACCTGTCTACTGTACCTTTCCAATCAGCATTCATATTGCTGTAGTGTCTTTCAGCACTAATTTTTAAAGCAAGACAAAGTCCACCTCTAGCATTCTAGTCCCCTTGACACACAGTGTTGGTGTCCTAATTTGCCATTCACCTTTTAACCACTTAATCTAACTTCTCCCTCCAAAGCACTATTTTTGTCACGGTCACCACTGGCTACTTTTCATCTTACCCCATCTCTTAGATTTGGCTGGTTGCTCCCTCACTTCCTGAAACTCTCTTCTCTCAGCTTCCCTAACATTTCCTAGCTCTCCTACTTCTCCAGTCACTCTTTATCTGCTTCCTTTCTGGGCCCCATCTCTGCCTAATTCTAAATTTTAGAGTTCCTCTGGACTCTTCTTCTGCCATTCTGTAAGGTCTCTCCATGCAGCAACTCCAAAGTGTGTCTGTCCAGCTCAGCTTGGCTCTGCAGGCCTGGTATGCACAACTGCCTGCTGGACAACTCGATAGATGTCTCAAACCAGACAGGCTCTAACAAATTCTTCATCTCTGTATAGCCTTCTTAAAGCAATTTTTCTCCCAATTTTCTACACCTTAATAAGTAGCTTCTTATCCCACGCAGCTGTTCATGCCCCCAAATTTGGAAGTCATTCTTGATACCTGTCCTCCTAACCCTCAACTCTCCCATATTGAGTTTGATATTTTTGTTGAATGAATGAAATTTCAGCATAAGTGTTTCTTCTTCAGAGGAAGATTTCCTTAATACCACCAATCTATGTGTAATTTTCTATTACATTCTTTTCATAGCATCCTAAGTTCTTCCTTCATAACATTTTTCATGTTTTATATAATTATATGTGTTAGTGATGTGATCATTCATATAACATTTATCTCTCCCATCAGAATAAGCTCCAAGAAGGCAGGGACCAGACTGACTTGCTCATCTCTGTACACTCAGCACTTACTAGCATTTGCTCAGAAAAATGTGTGTTGTTATACAAAGAAAATGAAATTGAATCAGTATGTTGAAGAGACAGCCGCATTCCTCTGTGCACTATGGCATTATTTATAATAACGAGGATGAAGACTCAACCTAAGTGTCCACCAACAGATAAATGGATAAATAAAATGTGGTATATATACAGAATGGAAAACTATGCAGCCTTTAAAAAGAGAATCCTGCAATTTGCAACAACCCTGGTTGAACCTGGAGAGCATTATGTTAAGTAAGCCAGGCACACAGAGACAAATATACTACATGATCCCTGGAATCTAAAAAGTTGAATTATTGAAGCAGATGGTAAAATGGTGATTACCAGGGACTGTAGCTAGGGGGTGAGAATGGGCTTAGGTGAAGTAAAAAAGGAACATTTGTTGAATTAAAGCTGAAGCTTTTTCCCATGATCACTGTTTTATGCCAAGCCTGTGCCCCCGTGCTACCACCCATCAGTCTACTCACCAAAACCCCAAGGGTCACGACACTGCAGTGTTCATCCTGGAGGGAAGGCGTCCAGGAACCCTTTGCTCAAAGATGACCTTCACCTGTAATAAGATAAAGGAAAAAAATTCCTAAGTGGATTAAAGAAAACTATAAATGTGCTGCTGAATAGGAGACAAACAGATTTCTTATTTATTCTAGAACATTAGTTTATGAAGACGTTGTCATTGCCCATGTAAACAGAATCAACTCTCAATTATTAAAGGGAATATATCTGATCTGTAGATGATTTCAAGGCCCCGTGGCCTGGTCTCCTTCCCAACTACATATTTTATTTTCAGAAGCTGAAGAAATACTAAATAAAAATAAAACGTATTTTTCTACTTCTTAAATTTCTTGGCATTTAGTAGGGAAAAAAATCCACACGTTTTGTTTCTGCCCATTCCTTATTATTATAGAGATTTGAGAACTGCCCATGAAGGTGAAAAGAGATGAGTTTAGAAGTGTTTTTCAATTTACAAAGTGAAGATCCTTGCTATGCTCAAATGCAACTATACATGGAAAGCATGTAACAAGAAAATTTATTTTCATACGCTTTGGGGAAAACTTAGAGCTGAACCACCTGGCCAGATGATTTCCTTCTATTCAGAGCCTACTGTGTGCAAAGTGCTGTACTGAATTGAGCTAGATTAAGTCAATAAAACACTCAGGTGGGGTGAAGTGGCTCACGCCTGTAATCCCAGCACTCTGGGAAGCTGAAGCAGGTGGACTGCTTGAGCTCAAGGGTTCAAGAGCAGCCTGAGCAAGAGCGAGACTCTGTCTCTACTAAAAATAGAAAAACTAGACTGGCATAGTGGTGGGTGCCTGTAGTCCCAAACTACTCAGGAGGCTGAGGCAGGATGATCACTTGAGCCCACAAGTTTGAGGTTGCTGTGAACTATGGCACCATGGCACTCTACCCAGGTGACAGAGCGAGACTCTGTCTCAAAAAAATAAAACAAAGCAAAACCCCACTCAGTTACTGGTCAAGCAGAACAATTTCTAACGTTAGTCCTTACAAACCAGAATTTTGAAACTGAGCTTCCCCCTTTGACCAGAATTTATAGTTTTGAAATTCCAAGTTCCAGACTTAGGGCTAAATTATTTAGGAATCTTTAAAATAATTCCTTACTAGGATTGCCATAAAGTTGTAAGTAAATCTTCAAATTCATCTGACCAAGCTTAGTATCACCTCTACAATTCCAATTTCAACTCTTCCAGTGAGGCTTTCTCACTTCCCTGCTCTAAGAAGTCAAGTTTATTAGAACTATGTCATGTTTAACAAATTTCATTTCTCTGCGATGACCACTACTCCATAAAAGGCATAGTATCAAACTTAGAATGTGGAACCAAAAGGCCTCAGGATTCCATTCCTAGCTCATTCTTAACTTCTGGCATGCCGACTACTAAAGACTTCCTCTCAGGAAAAGCACACAATAGGAAGAACCAATCTTTCCCCAACACATGGAGAAAAGCAAACGATACATTTGGCATGTATAGAGAACCTTGGTCCAAGCAAAATATTAGTGCATACTTAGTATTTATGCATCTATCATCCTTCAATAGCTAATAAACTTGAAGTAAGCAAATAAAAATTTGTATCAAACTAAAGAGTTCTGAGAGAAATGAAGCATTTCAAAATGAATTTCAACTATCATCATTTATTAATAGAATAATGGCTACCCAAAGTTATGTTACACAACCAATGTCCCTTCTTTGTAAAATTCTCCTTGATCACCAACTATCCCCATATGCCTTCCTTGGCCCCACAGCATATATTCACAGCACTGCTATAACACAAAACCACACTCCTGTTATGTACAGACAGTAAACTCCCTGAGGGCAGTGTCACTCATCAGCTCAGCCCTGACACTTGGTAGAAACTCAATTAATGCTTGTTGATTCATATATTATAATGTCCCTACCCTTATACCTGCATTGGCACAAACCAACAATGACATGATGAAGTTCTTACTTCAACTTCTCCCTACCTGCCCTTCTCCTCGGCCCTGTGAAGTGATTACTGCACAAATCTCTGCTCACAAGATGGTATAAAGGTAACTGCACTTACAGTTCTGACTCTCATGTAATTTGATGATTTTGCCTTGGAAACTCCTAAAATAATAAACAAATGTAGTTATTTTTTTTAAGGTTTGGTCCACTGAAGCAATAGCAAAACAGATATGGTTAACTTACAAAGAGAGCCTACAGAAACAGAAATAATCCAACATACTCAGATTTTTTTTTTTTTTGAGACAGACTCTCACTCTGTCACCCTGGGTAGAGTGCTGTGACATTATAGCTCACAGCAATCTCAAACCCCTGGGCTCAAGCGATCCTTTTGCCTCAGTCTCCCAAGTAGCTGGGACTATAGGTATCTGCCAGGATTCCTGGCTAGTTTCTTCTACTTTTAGCAGAGACAGGTTCTCGCTTTTGCTCAGGCTGGTCTCAAACTGCTGAGCCCAGGTGATCCACCCGCCTTGGCCTCCCAGAGTACTAGGATTACAGATGTGAGCCACCACGCCCAACCAACAAACTCAGATTGAATCACAAAAGTAATGGGCTTATCATCACATTCTTTACCTTTCAAGATGTCCAATTTGCTCTTTCTTCTACATTGGGACACAGCAGAGCTTTTCAAGAATGATCTCTGCTACCCAAACAGAAAGGAATTTTTAGGTCAAAGTGGGATGACACCAGCTAGTTCCACATTCAGTCCTACAGGGAACAGAAAAAACAAAAGGTTCATGTCCACATTCACACTGATTCCAAAGAAAACCACCTATTCCCTAATGCTCTGTGGCCAAAGTAGTATTTAGAAGGAACAATAAGAAAACAATTAAGTCACAAATAGGGAAGGCAGGCAAAATCAGTACAACTCAAAATGAAAGAAACTAAAGATAGAGATACTACAGCCCAAATTCATCCCACTAAGGACTGACTGGGAGTTTAGAAAAGCAGAATCCCCTAGACACAAAGCCTCAGTTTAATCACTGCTTTTAGCTTTTCCACAACCAAGAACAGTCACCACAGGTTGCAAAATAGACTTCTGTTTCATGTCTTCTCTATGCCCCTGTTCTGAGCATGATGGAGATGCTGAAAAAATATTGCAAAATCTAAAATGCAAGTGGCCATAGATAATTTAACTTTCAAAAATCAGTTGGTCTACAGCAGTGTTCTTAATCTGGGATCCAGTCATTCCCAAGGGGTCAGTGGATAGACTGGGAAGAGGGGAAATGTCTGTGAACTTGCAGGGAAAAACTTAAATCTTAATTTTGACTAACCTCTAAGTAAGAGTTGGCATGGCCTTCAATCGTGAATGTAGGTAAGAACCCATGATCATATGAGTAACCCTGCAACTGACCATGTCTCACCAGACATTTGGTGACCACAAGACATTTTCACATCATGTTATAGTTGTTGAAGATATCTTGGCATAACATGCACACTCATTACTAAACTACAGTATCATTAGACCTTCAGCTATGTTTTATTAATTAATGTGTTACAAAGAACATTTTCATAACTATTTCCATTTCATTTGTAATTCTATGTATTTTATCTTGTGTGTTTATAAAAAGTTCCCAAAAGGGGGCCCAGGCTTCACTAGATTGCCAAAAGGGTATATGGGACATAAAATATAAAAGGTCAAAAACCCCCAATCTAGAATGAGTAAAGTTTTAATAGACTCAATCATCATGGTCACAGAGGCAGACAGAGCAGTCAATCATTCCAGCAACACCATTTCATAGCTGTAGGAAATGAAGTGGCCAGGAAGGCAAGAGACCTATCCAGTGCCACACAGACATGGAGTTGGCATATTCCAAGTTGACACTCACAGCATTTATCTTCCCACTCTTTCCAATGGACCTTGGCTTCCATGTCTACAATTGTTACCACTGTTACTGTCTTGCCAGTAAATGGAGAGAGGTTTATTTATTACCTTTCAAAACTAATACACAACAAAAAACCAAACAACAGAACAAGATAAATGTACAAGATACTCCTTTTAGTTCCTTGATCAACCATGTTGCTATTAATATAATTGTTACAAAGGCTTAATAGTTAGTGAGATAGTAGTTTGTTAGAAGTGAGAAAGGAGCGCGGCACCCATAGCTCAGCGCGTAGGGCATGGGCCACATACACCCAGGCTGGCAGGTTTGAACCCAGCCTGGGCCTGCTAAAAAAACGATGACGATTACAACAACAACAAAATAGCTGGTTATTATGGTGGGCACCTGTAGTCCCAGCTACTTGGGAGGCTGAGGCAAGAGAACTGCTTAAGCCCAGGAGCCTGAGGCTGCTATAAGCTATGATGCCACGGCACTCTACCCAGGGTGACAGCTTGAGACTCTTGTCTCAAAAAAAAAAAAAAAAAAGTGAGAAATGAGCGGCTAACTGGCTCACACCTATAATCCTAGCTCTCTGGGAGGCGAGGAAGGTGGATTACTAGAGTTCAGGAGTTAGACACCAGTCTGAGCAAGAGAGAGACCTCATCTCTACTAAAACAAAAAACAAAAAACAAGAAAGTAGAAAAGGCCAGGCGTGGTAGCTTACGCCTATAATCCCAGCACCTGGGAGGCCGAGGCAGGTGGATTGCCTGAGCTTACTGGTTTGAGGCTAGCACTGAGCCAGAGACTTCGTCTCTAAAAAAGAAAAAAATTCCCAGGCCTTATGGTTGGCACGTATAGTACCAGCTATCTGGGAGGCTGAGGCAAGAAAATTGCTTAAGGCCAGGAGTTTGAGGTTGCTGTGAGCTATGATGCCACAGCAGTCTACCAACAGTGACAAAGGAAGACTCTGTCTCAAGAAAAAAAAATTAGAAAAACCTAGCCCAGTGTTGTGGTTGGTGGCTGTAGCCCCAGCGACTCGGGAGGCTGAGGCAGAAGGATCACTCGAGCCCAAGAGTTTGAGGTTGCTGTGAGCTACAATGAGGATGACATGGGAGACAGAGTGAGACTGGGTCTCATGGAAAAAAAAAAAGAAACAAGTTGGGCTCTTTATTCCCAAAGGTATTCAAAGCACTTTGAAGACAAGCATTAACTTGTTAGGTTGAGGTGCAGTTATGAGTGGTTATAGGGCAGGTGGTCTTGCCACTCTGTAGATGGGAGATTTGGAGAATACATATGAGAGATTTGTTCAAAGTCACACAAGAGTCAAAAAGAGAGCTAACTTCCTGATTCTAAGTTCAAGGCTCTAAACTCTGTACCAAGTCACCATGATCAAATATTTAGTTGATTATAATAAAATCTCTATTTTTTTTCTATAAGCCAGCGAGCATTTTCTTTTGATTCACAGCAGACACTTCTGAAGGCCATTGTGAAAATATCCCATGGAATAAACTCCAAGCATGTAAGTACTATTTTGCTTGTGCAAGTCATCTATGAATCCAGGTCAGGAATCTGCTCAAGAGCCACGTTGTATACTACTTGTGTTATAAAAAGAGAACTGTATTCTTCCCTCTTTCAGTTAATGACCTCCCTATTTACCCAACATGTTCTTTTGAAACCATTATCTTATATTCAAAACTGTTACTATAAAATAATATTTTAATATCAAAACTTTAGGTCATAAGACTATAAAATATCATACTCCCCTCTCCGTCTCAACTTTTCTCAACTTTACATTAAATTTTCTCTTTTTATCCAAACCCTCAAACAATTAATGAAGCCCCCATTCATCAAAGCATGCTTATGCCATTTAACTAACAGCTCCTTTTATTAACCTGTCTGTCTGTAATAGTTTGGATCTTTTCTGACAGTGAATAAGGAGGCCTTTCTTAAATTTTTACTTACTAACCATTACATTATTTGCATAAACATTCTTCCTTGCTAAAGTTTTCCAATCACTAGTATTCAGTAAAAAAAAAAAAAA